GATTCTCCCTCTATGAGTTTGCTTGATATTTCATCCTTGGATCCTCCCTGATGTCTCATATAGGAATTCGAGGCATGAGATGATGTTGAATTGGGAGGCTCTAAAGCATTCCCAAGATCAGCATCAAGGAAAAGGTCATCCTCGAATTCAAAGGGGCATGTAAAAGGATGATGTTCATCATCCCTAGGAGTGTGATGTATTCCCTGAATGGGAGGTTCCTTGGCAACCAGGTCATAGGAAGGATTTAAAGGAAATTCAGATTCGGTTGTGTGTGCCTCTTTTTGTTGGTCGGGTCTTGACTCAATTTCTTCTTCAAGAAACTCATCATATATGCCGGTGTAAGGGGTGTTTTCAAGGATTTTCTCAAGAATGGCCTTCCCCTCACTAATAGTATTGTGTGTGAACGAGCCTCCAGAAGATAGGTCAAGTTGGAGAGCAGCTTCCTTGCTAAGATGAAGATGGAAGTGGTAAAGAAGGACATGGTTAGGCAAGGAAAGGTTTAGACCGGTATTGATAAGGCTTAAGAACCTAGCCCAAGCTGCTCATAGAGTCTCCTTCTCCTTTTGTTGAAAGGTAAGAAGTTCTATTCGAAGGGCAGCAATTTGGGAAAGAGGGAAGAAAGCACGACAAAATTTGTCTTGAAGTTCATCCCAATTTCCATGTACGCCTCCTACGGTATGAGCATACCATTGTTTTGCTCTTCCCAAAAGGAAGAACGGAAACAATTTTGATTTAATGGTCTCTTGTGTCATGCCAGAAAAAATTAGGCAAGAACACAAGTGCTCAAATTCCAGATGGTGGGTGTAAGGATTTTCGTCTTCTCGCCCAGAGAAGGATTGATCCCGAACCATGGCTATGAAAGCAGGATGAATCTCATAGCCATTTGTAAGAATAGGATGTGATGATTGTGGCGGCTCCAATGATTCACCCTTTGGAGCAGAGTATTTAAAGATAGGAGTGGAATCCATGTGGTAGGGATCGTGGTGGTGGTGGTAGGGTGCATATGATGGTGGAAAAAAAGATACATGGACGAACTTGGTTCGATTCTAGAACAGCTACTGTTCCTCGGCAACGGCGCCAGAAAGCTTGTTGATATTTGTTAACGCAAATAGATAAATTCGCAAGCGCACCGATACCGCTGTAGCTTTCACCCGGAGTATTCAGTAAGTAAAATATAACTTGAACTAGTCAAATAGAAAGCTTGGATTTACCAAAGCAAAACCTAGATATTACTCAAAAGTTGAGTTGGCTCCGTAGAGGTACAAAAGTCAAGGAGGATCCGACAGACCCGTCTCCTCCTCTGCTCTCTTCCTCTCACTCACTCCCTGTTTTCTTTTACTACAACTAGGTAGGAGCACCTAGAGGGACACTACTACTAAGAATATGAAGGAATGCTCAATGTAGAGGTGTGTCATGAAACGGGGGTACCCCTCTATTTATACACGGAGGTATGGCGGTGCTCTGGCTATTATTGGCGCGAAGCCCCGGGCTACACCGCCATAGCATGAAGCCATGCCGCTGCCCATCGAAGGAGAGGCTGAGGCGCGCCAGCAGGGGGCCGGCCGCCCCTTGACTGCACCGCCTCGCCACCGCCTTTGCGTGGCAGGCCATGGGCTAGTCATGGATCACTCCTCCATGGGTTTTTGCCCAATTTGAATTGAGTTGATGGGCGTCTCCCTTGTTCCTTTGCGCAAATCAGTGCCAGAAAGAGCCTTTTGGTGATTTATTTCATGTATTTGTGTTTGTGACCTGCAAAATAATGTTCTCCAAATACATGTGGAGCTTGGTTAATAGTAAATGCATATGTGCTTAAGTTTGCCTATTTCTCCTCTTTTTGTCACTTATTTGTCGGTCGGATTTGATCGGTAAAGACCACCAACACTCTACTCAGAGAACGAAGCCTGATTATAGTGTTTTTTCCCATTATCCTATAAATTCAAAGTGAAAGAAGGCCAGTCTTAGTGAGGAGTTTCATGCTATTGTTTCCAAGACTACCATGCCATATAGAATAAAATGAAATATGGGTGAAACATCTACTCTCAATGGATAGTTTTATTCTATAGTTTCGTAGACATTTTATTTCATGGCTCATAGAGAATCTGTAATCGTGCCGAGAGAGTGTCATCTCCATGAAACTCACTTCATCTCTCTCTTCTTAAAAACACTGCCACATCATCAAAAACATTTATGTGGCAATCAATGCAAATAAAACTTTAATGAATGTAACGCCCTAGAGTCCAAACAGATCAGATCCACTCTGCACGCTGAGTGAACCACTCCTACCGCCATCCCACTTATACTTTCATCCTCACTTCGCGTAAAAGCAGGATTGACCCAGGGATGGTGGGATGGACTCTAGAAGCCTTATATGTTGGTCTAATCCACCTCAAACAACCAAGGTGGGACTAAACCCCCCACACTCATCAGCAAAACACACCTGCAACCGGGCAAACAATGACCAGTAATGTTACCTCTTATCACACGCGATCGTGCGTCCAGTGCCGGCACATGTGCCATGCCGTGCACCCCACAAGGCCTACATGCGCCCGTGGCCGCGAAGGTTGGTTTTGATACCATTTGTAACGCCCCAGAGTCCAAACGGGTTAGATCCACTCTACAACCTGAGTGAACCACACCTACCACCATCCCACTTACTCTGTCATCATCGCTTCGTGTAAAAGGATTAACCCAAAGATGGTGGGATGGACTCTAGAAGCCTTATATGTTGGTCTAACCCTCCTTAAACAACCAAGGTGAGACCACAATATCTCAGTAACATGCACATGGGCCAAATTCCAAGTTAGACCGGATGTAACAATGGAACTCCCACTCAGACTGACCTAATAATGTACCCCACACGACACCAAATCCACACACACGAAAAGGCTATTTATGCATGTCGATGCACACCAAATCCATACACAGATCATAGATTAGTTGGTTGGGTTCCTTGTCGTGAAATCTGTCCACCTAAGTTTAAGTCCTCGACTTGGCACGGGTGCTCATATTTTTCTAGATGTATTCCAGGATTTAATGGCGCTATGCTTTCAGTGGTAGGCGATGTTCCCGTCGACAGCAAAACGCTTGTGGTGACTTCGTGAATCTCGAGATCTGCCAGCTCAGTCCTTCGAAGGTGCTCATAGAGGTTAGGTTTGCGTAAGTGTGTTCATAGGGGTGACGGATGAGTGTGCATGCGTATTGTGGGCTTCTACATTGTACTGTATAATTAAAAAAAACGAAAAAACTACTTATGCATGCCGATGCTTCCTCCTTAATGACCTTAAAAGTACTACAAACAAAGAAATTAAACATGAAACACCAAAGTGTCGTCAAGGAAAAAGCTACTTATGCATGCTGATGCTTCCTCCTTAATGACCTTAAAAGTACTACATATAAAGAAATTAAACATGAAACACCAAAGTGTCGTCGTTCCAAGACCGTAGACCCCGTTGCTTAATTAGCACGGGATGATGATGATGGCCCAGTGTGTATAATATAATGGGTGCATGGCTAACATAAAAGATACTCCCTTCTTTCTAAATTATAAGACGTTTTGTTTTTTTAGTTATATTGTTTTTCTTATATATTTAGATGTAGTGCATATCTAAATGTATAGTGAAAGCTATGTATTTAGAAAAGACAAACCACGTTATAATTTGGAATGGAGGGAGTAGAAAATTATAATACTCCCTCCACTTCAAATTATAAGTCGCTTTGAATTTTCCAGAAAAAAGGTCGCTTGTCCAATTTACTATACATCTAGATATAATAATATATCTAGATACATAGTAAAATGAATGAACCAAAAATATCAAAGCGACTTATAATTTGGAACAGAGGGAGTATCTGTTTATTTTGTGTGGTCTTCTTTTATTCCTTTTATTAGTAGACTCTCAGGGCTAAGGATGAAAACGGTCGAAAAACTCCTAAATTGTTTTCTACTTTTACATTTGAAATACGAAAACGAAAGCGAAAACGGTAAAACCGGACACGAAAACGAACACGAACTTACGAATTATTGAGAATTTCGAAAACGAACCAATTCGAGCGGATTTATGTCGAACACGGTCGATATACGAAAACTCAATACGGAATACCGACCCGTAGACCAAGTGCATGACTAAGTGCATACATGATCAAGTTCAAGTGCATATAATAATTAACAAGTGCATATTATAGAAACATGAACTCGAACTGAGTCAGAATAATTTTATTAATCTTTTTAGAATAGATGTAGTATTTTATTTTAAAGATTTAGTCAGATTTTTCTTTTGAGTAACAAAGATTTATTCGGCTGATGCAAAAACTATCAAATGATTGACTTTGCAGGTGGGGTTAAACCGATGAGCTTGATGGGCTATGGCCCAGGTGAGCTTTCATGTAGATGCTGCTGGTTTCCTGACATTTAGCATCATCTCATGAGGTAAAGAGAGATGAGGCTGGGCGCCGTCTATAAAAGAGGGCAGCTGGCCACCAGTAGAAAGAACGCAGCTGCGTGGTGAACAACGTGTAATTGGGCTGTATGACCTGTGCAGTTGGCCAAATTCGGTTTAAACCAAATTTTCAATTCGGAATATTTCAAATTAAAAATAGAAAAGTAGAAAATGGTCGAAAAATGTCTAAACCGTTTTCTACTTTTACATTTGAAATACGAAACATCTGAAATGTGAAAGCGAAAACGGTAAAGTCGGACAAGAAAATGCGGATTCGATCGGATTAAATATAGAAAACGATGCGGTTCGGTTCGGGATATTTCCGTTCCATTTTCATCCTTACTCAGGGCTATCAGCTTCTCATTTCTATGATATCAATAGCTTGTTTATTAAAAAAGAAGAAAATTGCACAAGTCCTAACCAGCAAATAAAAAAAACATTAACACCTGGGTTCAAAAGGCATCGATCTATCACCTGGCTACTCCCACTGGATTATACTGCAAGGCTTCTCTGTAACATAAACAGAAACGGATTTACAAAAGTATGCGTGCATGCCGATGTGCATCATCAATCGGCATGGTAGTCAGCGGTGCTGCTCTGGTTATTAGCGAAGAAGTCGACGTTCCCGCAGGAGACCTTGATGTCGTACAGCCTCGTCCACGCGACGCCGACCTTGAACCGCGCGACGGCGGCGACCATCACGCTCAATTTGCGGTTCGTCTTGTTACTCGTGAAGGCGTCCGCCTCAGCGAGTCCCACTATGGACACCGTCGCGTTCACCTTGGTCTCGCTGCGCCTCCGCTGGTATTCATGGTTGATTTGATAAAGAATGTGACGGCCGGGAGACCTATGTTTGTTTGGGGGGTGGGTGGTAGAGAGAGAGAGAGAAGCTAGCGGTGAGTGCAAAATACATGTGTTACGAAGAGGAGAGGGTACTGAGAAGTGAGAACCGGCTAACATAGAAAAATTTTCCACAAAAGTGAACTAAAAGTTGAATAGTTACTACTATCTCGATCCTGAAATATGAGGGTGCATACTGCATAGCCAAAATGAAAGAGGAGAAAATTACACAACTACTAACCAGCAAATAAACTTCGCAAAGTCCCATTAGACTGCAAGGCTACTGTAATAACACAAAGTCACAAACACGGATTTACATGCATATGCCATTATGCCAATACAACGACGACAATGTGTGTAGCGTTAGTTAAGCGGCAGGCTGGCAGTCGGCTCTTGTGCTCGCGTTGCCGAAGAAGTCGACGTTCCCGCAGCAGACCTTGATGTCGTAGAGCCTTGTCCACGCGACGCCGACCTTGAACCGCGCCACGGCGGTGACCGTGACGCTGAAGCTGTGGCTGGTCCTGTTCCCCGTGAACTCCTCCCCGGCGAGCCCCACCATGGACACCGTCGCGTTCACCTTTCTCTCGCTGCGCCTCGGCTGGTGCAGCGGCAGGTACGCCGACACGTTGGCCTTCATCCAGGTAAACCACTGCAGCCCGGTGCTGTTGCTCACCTCGACGAAGATGCTCCAGTACTGCACGGCCGCGCGCCGGCTCGGGTTCTGGGCGGCGAGGGTGAGGAAGAGACGCGCCGGGTGGCTCGTGAAGTCGTTGCGCGCGTCGGTGACGGAGAAGCTGAGGCGCGCCGGGCTCAGCATGACCGAGACGACGGTGACGACCGCCGCCGCGACGAGGGTCGCCGCTAGGGCAGCCAGGTTGTAGTGCTTGGTTTCCAGCTGGCCGCTTGATGACGGAGGTGCCATCGCCATGTATGCCTACGCCCTACGGGACGGGAGTGTGTATAGCTGCTGGGTCGTCAAACAGACTGTTAAGAAGATGGACATATGGACATATGCCAAAGGGCTTCTAGACCAGTTGGTCGGAGCTTCCTGAGGCGGGATCGAACTCAGGTCTGAGAGTAAAAAAATCTCCTTGTCTGTCCCACGTCAAAGTACATGTCTGTGGCCATATCGTCTCACGGGAATGCGGTGCCGCTGTATATGGATGGAGCCAGGATTCGAAGATTTTCTCGATCTACGTAAGAAGATCTTTTTAGTGAAATACCCGGTGGGACGTCGTCCCCCGCGGATCGAGTTTTTTAAAATGGACATATAGGAGTACTCGATCTCTAGCTATGTAGCGCCGTCTAGCAAATTACTCCAAGTGCATGCACGTGTACTTATTAGATTATTAATAATAGATTGGCAACGATGCATGCATGAAAAGTTGATTCATTAGCACTAAAAGTTAGCTATATTTGAATCCACCTGCTAATAGGTGGTTGAACAATGAGTTGAAGGTACATATTAACTATTAGCACCTATTAGCAACTCTAAACCTGACCTGCTAAGAGCATTAATAGTTAGCAACCCCATGACTAATAATTTATATATTTATTAGCAGGTCAAATTGAATCCACTAGTATTAAGCTGCTAATTTTTAGTGCTAATGAATCAAATAATATCCTACTAATTTGTTATGTCATGATCCGGCTGCTCTTAACCTTGCAAGCAGGGAAGGTATCATGCATCCAGCATCCACGTACCACATCTCTTCTTCTTTTTTTTTAAATTACACGGTACAATATAGACGTCTCGTTGTTGAGGGGGACGTCGCCCACCATTGAAAGCATAATAACGCCGTTAAATCCTGGAATAAATCCAGAAAAATATGAGCCCTCATGCTAAGTCGAGGACTTGAACCTAGATGGACAGGTTCCACTACAAGAAACTCAACAATCAGTTCGCGTATCTCTTCCTTTTTTTCATTTAATAATGTCCACAAATCAGACCCTTTTATTTATTTTTTCCTTTTCTCTTAAACAATTGGAACGTTCAAACCATCTGCTTACACTTCGAATAAAGCTTGTCCCAGAACTACATTTAGGGATGACAACGCTCGTACCGAACTGTATCGTTTTCTACATTTGATCCGATTGAATTCGTATTTTCGGACAAATTCGAATTTGGTTCGAAATTTGAAACACCAAATTCGAAATTGGAACGAAAACGATTTAGATGTTCTCCGACCATTTTCTACTTTTCTACTTTTAATTCGGAATACCCCGTATTCGAAATTCGGTTTAAACCGAATTTGGGCCACTAGAAGTCCAAAATTTATATCTTTTTCATTCGATCTTGGATGAAGATGATTTTTATATGAAAATTGTAGCTCTCAACGAGATCTACAACTTTCTAGTTTTTAGTTTTTTTATTTGAGGTCTTTAAGATGTAAAAAAAAACAAAGTTTCAGTGGTATATTAATCGTAAACAAGCACTTGTTGCCTTAGAAAAATCATATATTTCTCATAAGGTGTCGAATGGAGATACTTTTTATGAAAGTTATAGGACTTATTAACTGTTATTCACTTGTTAATTGTTATGCACTTGATCCTAAGGGTCAATATTTCGTATTGATTTTTCGTATACCGACCGTGTTCGACATAACTCCACTCCAATTAGTTTGTTTTCGAAATTCTCGATATTCCGTAAGTTCGTGTTTGTTTTCGTGTCCGGCTTTACCGCTTTCGCTTTTATTTTCGTATTCAAATGTAGAAGTAGAAAATGGTTGAGAGGTTTTCTCACCGCTTTCATCCCTAACTATATTGTACTCTCCATCTCCGAGTCACCCTATTCTTTCTTGCTAGAAAGTTGTGCATTACCATTGACATCTATAAAAAGGAAACAACCAAATAGAACCTCTTGATTTCAATGATCGTGATTTAAATCTGACAAATTTTATGGCGGCCAGTATTATGACCGCATCACAAAATGCATATTGACATTTGATATTTTGCACGCAATTGGGTCATATTTGATTCCCCGGCACACATGTGTAAGAAGTTTGCAAGCAATGCAACGGGCATCGCGTTTGGATTTTTTTTGGGTCAAATTAAAAGAAAGCTGTCACAAGCGGAAACAAATATAGTCGCATCATGTCTGACAACAGTGTGTTGGTAGAGTGGCATGGACGACAGGTCGGAGACCAGCAGCTCCATGGTTTTTTAAGAAGACTTGAGACAACGATGAATGCTGGGGTGATGAAAAACTTGATACACCTGTGTGTGGACTTGAGACACAAGATTGAGTGTGGAGAAACATGTGAAAAAAGCCTAGCCAGATTCCTCGCATCGGGGAATGAAGCCGGATTATTGTTTTTTTTTTCAGTAATACCCACATATCACACCAAGTTCACACACACAAATGCACGAAAAAAAATACTATTTATGCATGCCGATGTTGTGAAAAATCCTCCCTAATGACCTTAAAAGTACTACTCCCTCCGTTCCAAATTAGTAAAAGCTATAAATCTATAAATGCAAAAACGTCTTATAATCTGGGACAGATGAAGTACATATACAAAGAAATTAAACAACAAACACCAAAGTGTCGTCGTTCCAAGACCGTAGACCCCGTTGCTTAATTAGCACGGGCTGATGATGATGGCCCAGTGTGTATAATATAATGAGTACAGTACATCAGATGAATAATACTGTGACAACTAAATGAAATGAGGTCCCCGCACATTCCTGCAAAAGACGTCCCTGCAAAGAAATTAAACAAGAAACACCAAAGATTCTTATTGATACTAGTTGTGGAAGAAAGCCAACTTTGATGCAAAACATGGTTGAAATAAGTTGTCGCAACAAACATGGCCTTTATCCCGCGTGACCAAGGATTCTGCTGTAACCAATTAGAAATTATATATGTATTCCCAATTATAGGATTTGTAGATTGTCCATTTGTGACATTATTTAGATCACTGCTGTCCACACCCCATTACCGAACTCAGTCACCCCTTGGATCAAAGTCTGTTGACGACAACATTGAAAAAAGTTTGTTTTTCGAGGTTAGTCACCTCTCGTCTCATAAATCGCCATGTATGATTTTAGGTGGTACAGATAGAGAGGGAAAGTGATCAGTGAACGAGGTCATTGGCTCGTGCAAACGCACTTGTAGTGCGGTGGCGTGTGCTCCCTATGGTTGAGCTAGTCGGTCAAGGTTTGATCTCTGGCCTAGCTTGCATCTTATTCATGTGGGAGCCCCTCCTTGTCCTCCTAACATTTTCAAAAAAACAAACTAGTACCTCACGTTTTCACGTAGCTAGGACAACTCCTACACTGGGCTGTTTAGTTACAGGCCGTCGTTCGCCACACCACAACCAGCGGGCAGCCACAAGATAAAAGCTGTTGTTTGGTTGTTGAGAAAGCTAAGGCGGCCACAAAAAACAAAGAGGAAAAACTCGCCATAGATTGTGGCGCTGGTTTTGGACGACACAGAGTGTTGTTTGGTTGTTGAGAAAGCTAAGGCCGCCACAGAAAACAAAGAGGAAAAACTCGCCACAGACTGTGGCGCTGGTTTTGGACGACAAAGAGTGTGCTACACTCGGATGTGGCAGGCTATGGTCTGTAATCAAAGAGGCTGGCTCTTAGATTTTTATTTGGTGTCTTCCTCTTTCACATGATTAGTACGTAGTCCCCTCATCCTGAAGTATAGTGCATCATGACTTCTAAATTTTATACTGAAATCTAATGTATTCTATGTAGCAGGGGCGAAGCCACGTAGGGCTAGCGTGGTGCACCGGCACCAGGGTAAAAAATACTTCCCTATTAGTACTCGCAACTTTTCTCCTCTTGTGCACTCCCTTGGCCCATGAGTGTGCACCAGGGATGCTCGCAGCTCAGCCGGCAAGGCAGTTGTATGCAGCGGTTAAAGGCCATAGCCAGTCCATTAACGAGCAATGCACACCCTATCAAGTAAGACTTGAGTCTACCAGCAACCATTAGTGGTAGTGGCCCCCTATGTGGAGTCCTCCTACTGATCCATGCGGTACATATGCAAACGTTTGTTCTTACAGGCAAGCTGCCTCGCAGCCGACGCCACCAAGGCCGTACCACAATGACCCTCTCTGCCTCCTTGCTTTTCTATCTCATTCCTACTCATGCTTTGCCATGACATGGTCGCTGATCGTCTTGGGGCACATTCTTGATTAGCTATATAATAATGCTTTAGTGCAAATGGTCTTGTGGTTATTGAAAAAATTGGTAAAGTTTTTATTTTGAATTAATTTGACTAAAATTTCGTTGACATTAGGGGAATATCCAAAAAAATACCAATTTTTTGATAACCACAAGACCATTTGCACTAAAGCATTATTATTAATTTGACTAAAATTTCATGACTTTTTTATTTTGTATGATATTAGGGGAAAATCCAAAATTGGACATGAAAACAAGAAAAGATTGTACATTTGTCAAATTATATGAGAAAATTTGTGTTGAAATGGTGCACCCAGGGTGCACGGAGGTCTAGCTTCGCTCCTGCTATGTAGTGTCTATACTCATATTTAGCCAAAGTTACTAAAATAAACCACAATTGGAGAAGAAACTTTTTAATTATCTTTAATCTATGGGTACATGTGTCATTTAAGTATTCTCTTACGTTATCTTAAAACTTTTAGAGCGTATTGTATTACAGGACGAGGGTCTACGAGGCAGTAAAAAGATGAGAAACGCCATTACATGGCTTGTAAGTCATGGTCCCATGTACATCCAGATATTTAGAGTATGATGACTTCGATAGTAGGGACAAGAAAATAGAAGTAATGGGGTATATATCCAGCTACAGACACAAAAATGCTCCCAGCAGTATGCATGTAACCTACTAAAGCTGATGTCGATGCTGATGCCGTAAACTGCCTTACAGCTGACAAAAGTTGCATCGATGTGATCTTTAGTGCACGCTGTCATCAGCAGATTGGTATTAAAGCA